CCACAGACAATAACAAATTCACCCTGCAGTGGAAAGGACCTTTTAAGTACAGGAAGTGGTCAACAGAATGGACAATAAGGTGAAAGTGGACTGGAAGACCAAGATCTACCATGCCAATCTGTTGAAGAGATACTTTGGGAGGGAAGAAAACCTAACGAATGCAGCTACTGAGGCAAAGATAGACATGGCAGGGGTAGATGTCACAAATGCAAAACCAGAAGATAGTGACTTTGCTATAGAAGATGAAGACCTACTAGACCTAAGACCACTGTGTGAAGATATGACATACAAAGATGTCAACATTAGTGAAGAACTGAATGGCAAGCAGAAGAAAGAGCTACAAGATTTACTATGTCAGTTGCAGATATCTTTACAGATAGACCAGGCTAAACAGTCCTTGTGCCACACAAGATCTAGACCATGACCTGGGATCCAGTCAAAGTGAAGCCCAATCAGATGCTCTATGCAATGAGACTCCTAATCAAGAAAGAAGTTGAGGCAATGTTAGAAGCTGGAATCATTCAGCCAACTGTTCACCAGTGGTACTCGTGAAGAAGAGAGACAGCGCAAACTGCTTCTACATAGATTTACCGAAGCCAAACCTCATGATGAAGTGTGACACCAAATTTATGGGCAACCCAGAGGCTATTACGGTGAAACTAGACAGGGCCAAGATCTTTACCAAGAGCGACTCAGTAAAGGTTATTGGCAGATTCCGATGCAGGCAGAACCCAAAGAAAAGACAGCCTCCATGACACCAGATGGATGCTACCAGTTCAAGTAGATGCCCTTTGGGTTAGTTAACTCAGCAGAGACATTCAATCAAATGATGAAGATGTTGTTGCACAAAACCACTAACATCAAGCGTTATGTGGACGACATTCTGTCCCATACAGTCAGATGGGAAGACTACCTGACGAAACTCAGAGTTGTTCAGGTGAGTGAGGCCAGAAGGTTTGACCATCAGACCATCTAGTGCTACATTTGCTATTCTGTGCTGGACAGAAGGTGGGTGACCGACAAATTACCATGGCAGAAGAGAAGCTAACCTGCATAGAAGATGCACCAGCTCCGATGACTAAAAAACAAGCCAGATCCCTTCTGGGGTTAGTGGGGTATTACAGGAAGTTCACCCCAAACTACAGTGAAGTTGCTACAGCACTGACTGACCTGACCAAGAAACACCTACACAACAAGGTGAAGTGGGAACAACATAGCAGATGATATTCCAAAAGTTAAGAACATGTTAGGAAGTTTGCCAATCCTTAGAATGCCAGACTTCCACAAACCATTCATCTTTCAGGCTGATGTTTCAGTCATTGGAATTGAAGCAGTACTCCTACAAAAAAAGATACTGTTTCCAGTAATGAAGGTGAGTAAAAATTCTTGAGTAGAGAGAAAAACTACTCTGTGATGGAATAAGAGTGTCTGGCCTCCATATTTGTCATCAAGAAGTTTCAGAACTACCTCTATGGGAAGAAGTTCATTATCTAGAGAGACAATCAACCTCTTGCATACATCTAGAGTGCAAAATTGACAGTACAGGGATCAATACGTGGACGTGGTACCTCCAGGGGACTGCAAATGTTGATGCAGACTGTGTGAGTAGACATTGTGCATGAACTGAGAAAAGTCTTTGTATATAAAATAAAAAATATTCCAAATATTTTTTTGAAGAGGGGGCTTATTGTTAGATATACACGACCATTTATTTTAAGTTTGATAAGAGTATTATTAAGTTTATATAGTGTGAAGATTAAAGTAAATTAAAGTTAAGCGAAAGCAAGACAAAGTAAGTAAAAGATACAGTTAAATAGATCTAGTCTGTGTTTGTAGGTTTGTAAGTAAAGTGCATATAGTGGCATTTTCTTTTAATGAAATTATTGCAGTATTATTGTAACAACAGAGTAGATAAGAATAATTTGTCTTGTCAACTGTGTTCTAAAGTAATTGAACAAACCTGTGTGGACTTTGATGAAAAGATAGGATAATTTAAACTTTGGATACAACTGTGGTAACTAACTGTGTAACAAACATTTGTATATATATGTTTGACATATTATTTTAAAACAAGTGGACTGTGTGCTTTTGTTTATTGTTGAATATTGTTGAATCCATCCATATATAAAAACCTGTGTTGGATATGCAAGACTTTAATGTAAGAGTACTTAATTAGATATTTAGTGATTTAATATGTAATGATCATTTAGTTTTCAAAACAAGTGTTAAAAGTGAATTATTTTAAAAGTGACAGTTATGATAAGTTTCATTACATAACTCTGTAAGAGTTGTGTATGAAGTCTAATTGTTGTACTAGGCTTTCATAGTATTGTTGATATCATCTTACTCGAAACTTTCAAGTTTTTCTCATTATGTGTAATATTGTTGCTACTAGAGGGCTAGATATTTCTAGATTTTTCTGTCGCGTGTTATAAATACATGCAGATACAGCAAGTTAGAAAAAATTAAGTTAGTGAAAGTGAAGTTAGACTGTATGATTGTTAGTTTAGCCATAATGGTTGATATCTAAAGTGAATTTCACAGTAGTATTATAATGACAAAAATAAATAATAATAATTTGTCTTGTCAAAGGGTGTTCTAAAGTAACTGAACCTGCCTGTGTGGACTTTGATGAAAAGGAGACAATTATTTAAAGCTATGGATACAACTGTGATAACCAATAGTGTAATGAGTTTTTGTACATACGTTTGGCTTGTTTCGAATATATTATTTTAAAACAAGTGGATTGTGTGCTGTCTGTTCATTGTTTGAATTTATTGCCACCAAGTCACAGACACCTAGTGTGAAGAATCCACAGCCCTATAAACCTGACAATGTTGCTCTTGGAATTGTACACACAACAAGTATTTTTTTTATTATCAACACATTTTTCCAATACCAACATAGTCAAATAGTTACTTGATACAAGTGCAATGATTTAAAAACAGCATCACAACTAGACTACATCCTGATCAAATTGACCATGAGAAAAAGTATCGTTGCTGCAAAAGTTATTCCAAATATACATACAGACACATAACATAGGCCAGTAGTACTAGACATGAAGACAGAAAGATCCAGGAACAGAGAGTTACATCACCAGTACAAACTGTTAACACCAGAATGCTTAATGAAGAGGAAGTAAGGAATAAAACAAAAGAACAGAAGAAGCGGAAATTTGAGAAAATTCCTGAAGAGACATTCAGCACTAATGAAGAATGGGCAAGATTCAAGAAAACTTTAAATCAATACTAAAAGAGTGCTGGTACAAGGAAAATAGAAGAAATGAGTAAAAGAGGCATAATACGATGGAACAAAGAGGTAGATGAAACTATAAAGGAGAATAAGAAAGCTTTCAAAAGATGGGAAAAAAACAAACAGAAGATGACTATGTAATCTACAGTATAGCCAGAAGAAAGAACAAAAGAGTAGTAGAAGAAGCAAAATAAATGTCAAGGAAAAAGTTTGGAGAAGATTTGGTTCAGAAATGTGGAAAAGTACTGAGAGAGTTCCATAAACTTGTAAAGTCAGTAAAACAATGGAATGAGCCTTTTGATCCTACAGCAATAATTAATGATGAAAAGGAAATCCATTAATGCAATGTGTGCACAAGCTTGGTCCATTGGACCGACCCTGTACAGAAGATGGCAAATTTGTCAGAGATAGAAACTAGATTCCAGAAGGCAAACAATTTAACCTATCAGATGCCTGCTGTCTCATAAGGACACAGAGAAAACATTTTTCAACATCGTATGTACACCAATACTAACATACAAATGCCAAACATGGATCGTCAGTCAAAGAAATGAGCCAAGAATAACATCATGTGAAATGATATGCCTCCATAAAGCTGTCAATAAGACCAGCCCAGATAAAGAAAGAAATGAAACAAATAGACAACAGCAGAAATGAGACTAGTACTGAAGCATAGAGAAAAGCAGAGGTTGAAATGGTCAGCCATTTTTTTCAAATGAATCCAGAGCAGCTACTGGCAAGAGCACATAATTTATAACTAAGAGGAAACAGAAGAGGGAAGCACTGATCGATGGTGTCCATCTAAGAAACATCTAAAAATATGAGACTAACAATTGGAGAAATGTCACACCTTGACCTGAAATGTCCTTTTGTATCTTTCACAATGCTGTAAAGCATAAATGGTTGACAAGAGAAGAAAGTGTTGAGATTTTGGCAAAAATAATTCTAAGTACAATAAATGAACATAGAGAAATAGTTTCTTTATAAATTATGGGGAATTTTAATAATGCATTCAATGCTAAGTGGTGAATTATTTGTATAATTTATCATTTCAAAGAATAAAGTTTGGATTTTCATAAACAGAAAAGATACCTTTACCAATGAGGAAATTGTTTTCATTCCACACATGTTATTAGATGTATAATAGGCATAAATATATGTAGCATACTGTCAAAGTGTTGCTGCACAAAATATTAAAGCCTGCTTTGAAGGAATAATAAACTCCATTTTAAAATACAGGATGAACCAGAAATGTGTATCTTTGCATATTAATATTCACAAACAATTAGAAAACACTAAAGTGGTATTCTAAATGTGTAAATATTTTGTGGTATTAAAATGGTGTAAAAATAGTACAACTAATGCATTCTGACAGGTTACCACGAATATCAAGTCACAAAATTTGTTCTTGTAAAATGGTAGAACAATTAACTTAGTTGATTATCAGACAGAGAAAAGTATTCAATTACTTTCGTTTTAAGAGGTACTCAATTATTATATAGTTTCTATTGATGGGATGGTAAATTTATTTGGGTACAATGTTTTGTCTCTTACAGAGAGATTTGATCATGAAATATTGTACCCAAGTAAGTCAAGTATCTCACCAACAGTCATTCAAAAGAACTTTAAAGATTAAACTACTTTATTTACACAAAAAAATAAGAAACTACATATACATATAAAAATGTATTTATTCAAAAAGCAATAACAGTAATGTAATAACACAAGGCTTAAATCTGGTTTACCTGATGAAACTGACCCTCTGATACACCATCTCTATAAAAGATTATTCTATTTGGCTTAAAATGAGTAGATTTATAAAACTGGATCAAGAGTTCTTTCACCATGTTTGCTAGGTCCTTGATTATCTCTTGTCGATGTTGCTGTACTCTTACTGTTGCTGCATACCTACTTGGGTGTGCATCCATACTTCCTACTACCTAGTTAAAGATAAAATATACATTTTAACACATCTCAAGAAATACTGATCTCCTTTTGAAAATACTGACAGGAAATGTTTTTACAGTTTATCACCTTTTCCAAAACTGTGTTTATTACTTCATAAAATACTAAAATTTCTAAGTTACAAGACATAAGTGATCCAGAAATAAGAGTAAAAAGGGCTCATGCAATTTTTTCTTTGATTTTTATAATAACTTCTTTTCCACGTGATAAACATAACACAGATATTCAATAAGTAAGTGAGATTAATAAAATATAGAGTAACAAAACTCCTTTTTTTAAAACCGCATTCAGGAATTTTATCCCAGCACCAAAATAAACGTAACTGCAGTATGCATACAACTTTCATTAGTATCCACTTTAAATCTGCGTGTATTATATCTATAATATAATAATAAGTGATTTACATTAAATTCTGTACTTCAGAGAAGGGTGGCAAAGTTAGAGATGAGGGAATACTTAGAGAACAAATTCCATCATTCTCATACTAGGGGAGAACTTTTAAGAACTTAAAACTTATATAATAATAAAATTTTGTTTATCAGATATGTTTTGATGACAAGTTTATTCACATACATTAATAATAAAATAGTTTCATTAAATTTTTAATATAACTATGCAAAAGATTGTGACATGCACACTCTGACCTACCAATAGAAAGAGGGTTAAGTACTGAGCATTATACAAATCACTAGATCAAATTTTCCATGTTATTGACATTCAATGTGTAATTACTATACAAACATTGTCAAACTCTTTCTGTTAACTGGAGAAAAAATAATATGACACTGTTGTCTGACGAACCTTAAAATGTTTAGAACTATCTTTGAATTCATGGCTAGCAAACAAACCTTTGAACACAGTCCTACAAAATACTTCCAACAGTTAAAAACTTTCACAACAGGAAGGTGCATCAACTGAAACATCAAATTATTTGTGTAACAAAAGATTTTCTTTATTGCGTGCAATGCTTAAGTGCAATATATAATTTGGCAAGACAGAGCAAACAGTTTCTACTGAACACTATTCAGATATAAGGCTTAAACATAACTATCTTCCTGTTCCTGAATACTTTAATAGTGATTGATAAAACCTGTGTGACATACTTGCCTTTGGAAAATACATCATTAAAGAAGAATGTAATGATAGGATTTTACTAGAAGCTTTGTGGATAGAAAGACTGGGGCTTTGTTACCAAATGAACTCAAAATAAAAATAGATGTTGCAATTCAGCTATTTCCCAATGTATTAAATTATTAGTGCAACATCTGCAGCTTATTATTATTATTATTATATCTGACTAATTGTTATTGAATAGGTCACATTCTTCATGATTCTTTTCATAGTTTTGTTTGACTTTAAGTACATAATGTAATGTCCAAGCAATTACACTGCTTGTGACTCTGATGAATGGCTATCATCAATTTAAAAGCTAAGGCTGAAAATGGGTATTTGTATGTGTTGAATTGTAAACATTTTAAAATAAAATTTGTGTCACTGTAGCACATTTCTTCCTTTCTAACACATACTGTTAACAAATCATGATCTTAAAAAATATCTATTAGGACTGAGCAACATTTATTACTTTTGAAAAGTAATTTCTGAACCTATTGAGAAATATGACACCTAGAGTATGAAAAAAAAAATTTTTTTTAATGTAATTTTTAATTTACCGTTGTTTCACTCATTCTTGTTGTGTTGGTTGAACTTAAGTTTTCAAGTACAGAGAGCCAATGTTTAGCTATTTTTAAACAGAACGGATTAAAATTTCTCTTTTTAGGTAACAATACATGTCAAATGGTCATATTTCTATGAGATAAGTAAAAATTAAAGAAAATAAATTAAATAATAGATTTACTGCTTTATTGCATAGTTCACCCCCCCCCCCAAACATTCATTGCAATGCCCTGGATAAACACACTTTGGTTTCTCATGGCGTCTTACTGTCACATTTTTTGCTATAGATTTAGCTGCTTGTGATTGACAATCAGAATTGTTTTCTTTTTTTCTTGACATTTTACTCTGAGGTACATAATCAGCATCAAAAATGTTTACCATACCTAACTCCCCCCCCCCCCCCAAACTAAAGTGAATAAAAACCTATTTATTTTGCAAAATTTTGTGGGTTCAACTTGTCTATTCTATAAAAAAGTTAGTCTTGTTTGTATGTAGATTTGAAAGCATTTGATGGATTTTTATTCTGAAACCACAATGCCAGCACACATCTATAAAATACACATAAATATTTCTGATGTTATTTCCACTTAAATCAGACCAATATTCAGTCCATCTTCTGTGACAAAATTAGATTTCAAAGTTTTCATTGATACTAAAAATTTGACATCCCAGACATTAAACCTGAGTAAGTTCATTCCATATCTTTATAAGCCTGCTATTACAGTGGCTGAAAGATGCGATCAAACAGTCACAAACATAGCTCGAAGAAAGTTTTGCATCATTCGTATCTCCTTCAATTGTTTTTTCACTGCACAGGTAATAACAACTTTTATTAAAAAGATTTCTTATCAACTTGAAAATCAGAAATTTAATTTGTTCAAACACACACAATCACTGAAAGAACTCTTAAATGATAAAAATGCAAAAATACCATTTTTACTACAACTAAAAACAAACATGACTCAATACTCCAAAAACAATTTGGATTTAGTCATCACAGCTTCAATAAAAAAATAAAAAATGGTTTATGGAGCTCTAGGTTATTTTCTTTTTATATATTGAAAAACAATAAAACAATTCAATGATTCTTAATAGACTTACTGCTGCTATGGAAGGTTTTTTGTTATCACCGGCTGGAGGGTGTGTAACATCTGCCCCCAAAAATATCACAGGTTCATTAAAAACTTTTGGCCTAAGGAAGAAAAGGAAAATATATTTATATTTACATATACATAAAAACAAAGGAATATAAAATACTGAGAGATTATTGGAAAAGTGTGTAAACGTTCCATTAGAATGCAAATTTTTTAGAACCCAAACAGTATTAACATTTATTTTTCTAGCCCAATGTATACTCTTAGCATTAAAATGACAAATCTGCTTAAAATATGTTTAATATTTTATGTTGTAGATTGTTAATTTTCTTGACCATATCATATTGCCATACAAAAATTATTCCAACATTCCAAAGATATTCAACACAGCAATTAAATAGTTAAACAAGATTTATAAAACAGTATTTTAAAAATAGCTTAAACTTACCGGATGCTTGGCACTAAGATGCTGTTGATGCCTCCCAGTTTAACATTGATCTTTAAACAGAGATTGGACAGAGTCTGTGGAGATGTTTTACTGACATTCTTTGCCTGAACACATTGTGTAGCCATCCCTAAAACCGTGTCACCAACTCGTTTTACTTCAGCTAAAACCAAAACCAAAAGAAAAGCTTCACAGAGTTTCCAATTTAATGAAATAACTGAATCAACATATCCCTCATTCTATCATTTAAAAAATACATCAAGATTATTCCACAATATGAAAAATTAATTTATATCTAATTTTTTATCAACTTCTGAATAAAATTCCTCAAAATCTGAAATTTTGTTTTAAAAATTATCACTTCTTAGAGAAACACCCTAATTCACAGTTCAAGTTAAAACTGTGTAGATTTTTTTTAAACAGTAACAATAACATTAAATATGCAAAGATGTTTCATAGATTAAGTACATGTATAGTGCTTAAATTTATTAGAAATCACTTAGCTCTTAAACTTGTGGAAGTAGATCTATAGCTTCTTTGGAGCTGAATTGTGGATATATTATGCATATACAAGTATGGTAAAAAACTGACATGTTAAAAATTCTAAACTCTTATAAAATTCATGGTCTTTTGCAAACACGGTGAGAAAGAAACTTCAAGAATATTTACTTTGCTACACATTATACATGAAACATTGGCTTCAATTTGCTATTGCTGTTTTCACTGTGGCTGAAATTACTCAATACAGTTAGTAGTTTCATGCTATACTATCATAAAATACGCATGGTCTGCTGTGGGTTCAAAGGCCCTCTCATTATTCATAAAATTCCCAGTGTTTTGATTCAATTTCTCCATCAGCCCTAATTACATTTATAGTTACTCCAAGGCGAGTCTATACCCAATAACAAGCCATATTAGGGCATCCACCCATGGTACCTGAGCATGTACCATGTTTGGTCCTACTAACTTGTGAATTGGGGTATGAACACAGTTTTAAGTATGGCAGAACTAGGATTAAGGAACACAAAATCGGGTGCCAGATTTGGGTTCAGTTGACTCTGAAAGTCTACTCACAGACCCCCATCTTGCTTTGGTGACCCTCTGGGCATACTTTAGCTCCCCTTTGTAGTGAGGTTACACAATATATATAAGGTCACTCCCTTGGCCATCCCAAGTCCACCTGCTGAGGTCCAAAACTGTAGGAAGAGTTTTTAGACAAACAAACTCACAAATACAAAATGTGAATGAATAAAGAATTATTTACACTGACTACATGTTTACACAGGGTTCCCACAGAGGAGAAGATTAAATAATTTCCTGATTTTTTCCTGATCAACAAATTTGAAAGAAACTGATAAAAATCATAGTATATGCTGAATAACTGTTAACAATCACAATTAAACACATGTTCCAATAATGAGGAATAAAAATCCAAGTTGGTCTCTATATCCCCTCTTAAAGCCAACCCAAACCACCTATACATTGATTTGTAAATACTATATAGTTTAATTTTTTAAATGAAAAAATACCAGTTGTTGGATGTGGTATTATGTTATTGTAATATCTATAATGTATATATTCAACTTTGTATTTGGTATCATATATTACAAAATCTGTAAAATAAAAACATTTTGAATTAGACTGCTTTCTGATGTCACATTAATCAGTGAAAAGTTTTTAGAGAACTTTATAAATTATTAGACCTTCTGATGGATTATTATAATCTTTATTTAGAAGGTAAAAATTGAATTTACTATCAGCAGTAGATACTACAATAAAACAATATATAAAAGTGCAGACATACAGTTTATTACAATCACACTATGCTATGCAACAGTGGGTCATATTAAGGTGTTAATATGCATATCAGCCTGTATACACAGAACAAAGCAAACATCTGGAATAAAAAGTGTTTTTTTTTCTGGAATGAAATTCAATCAGCATTCTCTGCATAGTTAACCCAATTGCCATGGGCATCCTCTTCTGCACATGTCACGAGGTTTCAGTGACTTACATTCAAAATTTCATTAATCTACTTTTTGTTTAAGTTATACCAATTAATATAGCTTAAAATCTTAGCTAATAATCCATATTTTAATACTGTATAAGTTAAAAGTTCTTAATTTTATAAGGCAATATTTAAAAAATCCCAAAAATCTCCTATTGTGACACACGACACATTTTTTCTAGGCATCTCCTCTTCTCTATTTTATCTACCACCCCTCAAATAAGTTCAAAATTCAACATAAATTACTCAAGTTTGTTTGGTTACAGAGCCATTAAATAGTAAATCAGAACCCTCTTAAGGTACCCACCTGCCACATCCTCTCTTTCAGGATTTGTTAATAGTTCTCTTACATTTAATTCTATATTATCTATAACTAATAGAAAGCCAAGGTTTTCATATATCTAATCACATATTCTATTATGTTGTTTTCTGAACAGAGAATTGTCATTGTCTCTGTTAATACAAGCTTTGTTTCTATGGAAAAGATAACGATTACCTTGAATGAATTTGTAAAGGCTCTTGTTGCATAGTTAGAAAGCCAGAAAAACTGTGATAGTTATCAAAAATTGTCTGCTTTTTGCATGTTATTATTCTATGCTCTTTGGTACATTATTTAATTAAATACAAATTATTTAGTGCATTACTACCATTAGTATACAATTGACAGCAAGAAAGAAGAAGATTTGGGTAAGTACTTTATTTCTTGTTTTTCATGTCTGTTCTTTATTTATTATAAAAGTAACTAAAATGTAAAAATAGGGATCTCTTTAGATTAGTTAAGGTTAGATTATATAAAATGAATAATAATAACAATATAATAAAAATGTTTTATGAGGCACACACGCTTCCCAATTCTTTCATCTGTTCCTGCTATTTGCTCGTTCTTTTCTAAAACTTTTGATTTTACAAAGTCATTTTAAATTTCTTCTTAGATTGTTTAGCAGGTTCACCTGCCACCATTTGCAGCACTCTACACTTGACTCCAGCTTTCATTTGCTTGCCTCAAGCCCATCAGCTTCTCTTGTAGGTTTTTTTTTCTCAAACTAATTTCACTAGCAACTTTTTACTCTTTTCCTCATCCAGATATAGCTGGTAAC